AGGAATGCAAGGGATCGGGCAGTTGTTAGCGACCGGGTACAGTTTTGTCCGGAGTACGGTCCAAATTTGACGATCGCATTCATTGAAGTCCTTCCTCTACGAAGTTAGGTGTCAATTTGTGCGGTCGTCCACATACGCAGGTCCGCGTCCCAGTTCCTGGAACTTCACCCTTCGGAAACTCTGCGTGTACCCGACCCGACAACGGGGAATGGGTGTCACCTAAAGAGGACTCCTCTCTGGGTTCGACTACAGCCCCTGCGATCACAATTTCGGGCCGGGTGGATAAGGCCCGGGATGTGGTGTTCGGGGCAGCGTTGGGATTTGGGACGGGCCATAAATTGGAAGCTTCAGAAGCCCATGCCTCCGAGTCACATCGCTATCCATGGGTATGGGCATGGGTATAGGCATGGACATGGCACATCAGGATTGATGGCCACGCCTTCAGCATGGATGGATGGTGTGGTGGCACATTTGCTTCGGTACTGGGGACGGGAAGCAGGGCTCGTTTTAGTTCTGTTTGTGGAGGCCGCCTCCTGGGTGACACTACCGCGTCTTCGTCCCTGTCTTTATACCGGTGGGACCTTCACACGTCCAACCAGCACAACGCCGGCACTTGTGACGTGGATGTGCTATAGGCAATATTTATCTCGAAAGTTAGTTACCCAGCCGGTAACTGACTCTCTCGTTTCTTTGCTCCTTATTCCCTTCCGAGCAAAACAAGACATCGGATCTTCACTGATCTCTTATCAAATTCTACTGCGTAATGCACCTGCGTTCATTTACCAATTGCTTTCCTTTTGGAAGCCATTGGAACGACTTCCACAAGGCGGTCAAAATGACGATTGGTTGCCGGCGAATAAATAGGTGCCCAAATTTCAAGATGTTCAAGATGGAAGTTGGAATTGAAGAAGACAGGAGACATATGCCTTTGGAAGCTGGTGGCTATGGTATCCATGCCATCTCATATACGCAATTGCTGAACTACTTTTCCCTTCAACAGCTCATATTTCGTGGAGGTCAGTTTGAACTGACGCTCAAAGAACAAAAGAGAAGGCTGCATGAAAATGTCCAGTGAAAAGACGAATGCTTATATCTCTAGAGGGGACTCTCGCCTCCGAAGGCCTCAACTTTCCAGCTTGTCCATGACCTTCGAGTTCATCATGCTTTCATGTCTACGAGTGGTATATTCATCATCAAAGTACAGCTACGCAAAATGTAGTCACGCCTTAAGGTGTGCATTACTGTACTCGCCCTCGTTTTAAATAATGATAAAAGAAGAAAGTGCTTTTCGATTTTAACATTAGGCCATCATCTCCCCCATTCCAGGTCTGATCGAAACACCCTTAGAAATCCCAACCACTGGAGCCTTATCACTGTCAAATTATGAATCCATGCATGAAATATATATATTTATTCATATAGTGTAAAGATTAATCTCCTCGCATTTGAAACTTTTACACCTCACCATATTTGTTCCATTCTTATGAAAAAAAGAGCCATGAAATCAAGAAAAAAATATCTCCTCGTGCCCAGAATTGTCTGAAAACATCACCTCATGATAAGATCACCCGATTGATGGCTGGAAGATACATCCACTTGTTATACAACCTGGCAGCACAAATCATCAGATCTACTGCTGCTGGGACTTTCTAAGATCTCAAAATAAGGAACTAGATCTACTATTTAGTTCAATGTTGTGAGATCTGAAAATAAGGAGATGTTTTGGACTGCATACAAGAAGGCTTAGATCTACAATTCCGATTTTCAAAAAGTCAAGACGTGCATACTGTTGCTAGTTCATATGTTTGAATCGAAACTTAGACTCGCTGTTTTAGCTTCAGAAGAGGTACGACAAAGACTCTCTGGTTGGCTGGAAGCCCTTTCCTGGTGTGGAAATAAGTCTGTGTTCTTTGAAATGGACTCCTGATTTCGAGGAAATTCGTCTCTGGTTGGGGCCACTCTTAGCTCCGCGGGTTGTTGCAAAATAATAATTTCCACACTAGATCCAGTTCCTGAAGAAGGTTGGAACTTGAATACTGACTGTTCGGTTCTATCAGACCCCGGTGATAGAATCTCGGATTGATTTGGTGAAGGTCTATGTTGTGGGGGATTGGCACCATTGGCAGTTGAGATTTGAAACAAAGGAGCTGATGGTAGTTGGAAATAGTACTGATTGACAACTATTCCCAAACATGGCAGAAGTAAAGCCAACACACGATGATTTTCAAGACAGTTTCTGGTTATATCCATGGTAGCAATACGGGGATGTTGTTTCGCCTTGGCTGAGTCCAACTATATTTGCATATGGATTACTCGCCTATGATTGTGGAACTGTGTTAGATGCATATACTACCCCTTTGATTGCATCCTTGTGTGACTTGATGGGGGTTTTCCCACCTAATTTTCTTTATTGATTTGTATAATTTCTCATATATCCATATAGATATGTTAAGGATAATAATCTTAATGCACCTTAATATTGAGTTGATAATTTTCATATATATATATATATATATATATATTCCCATGGAAATTTTCAGCTTAAAGATGAATGATTATTCACTTTAATATTATATTCCTTAAAAAAAAATTCCCATAGATTTACATAAGTAGTATCTCTGTGCTTAAATTCAATGAACAATTTTGAATGAGCTTGTCTATGGACAGACAACTACTGGGTTGGAAGTTATTATTAGTGTGCAAAGTAGTTGTGGCAATTTGAACAGGAGGAACTGATCATAGAACTGTGATTGACGTATGTGATATGTTAACCAATCTATACACGCAGAAGAATAAAATATTAAATATATGTTCCTGTCCTCATGCAAACAGAGAAGGCTTTCCCTTAGGTCCCATAAAAGGCGGTGAAAAATTCCGACAGCCGCCTTGACATGCGAGGCACGAACAACCAGCTTGGACAAGAAAGTAAGTGGCGATAGTGAACATTGACCTCAAGAACGAACATCTTGTGTAAGCAAGCATCGTGTGTCCCAACACACTTCATCAGGATGTTCAGAATACAATATAAACAAAGTTCTATTGGCTACTACAACTGCAGACTCCCCCTTTATCATGTATTCGCATATGTACAGTTTGATTGTGGAAGTGTTGATCTGCTTTCGTTATTTGATCCAACTTCTCAACTTCACTTTTACAACAAGTCATATCTTGTTGTTTGTATTTTCACCCGTTCCTAGTAGTTTGAGATCTATTACATCCAATAAATCATATTTGGTATATCCAAGACAGGTTGAGTTTTGGAATAACTAGGTGTCCCTCATGGTGAAATGCTGAGTTTCAAAAGTTGTACAAGCAAAGGATGTAATCCTGTTATTTATTACTATGATTATTTCATTTCCTTATTTTTATGCCTTTCTCATTGCCAAAGTTTTTCCTTGTATGTCATTTGCATGGATGTTGAAATTATCCCAGCTTTTGGTATCTCGGTGCTTTCTACTGTAGCTGTTCTGCAGTGGTTTCATGCGTTATGGAAAAAGTTAACTTACATATTATGAAAATCAAAACATCTGAACATAGATACATAAAGCCTTAAGTAACAAATTATGACGGAAAAGTCACATAAAGTCTTGCAACATTCAGTAGGTAGACAATGAGAAAGCAAAAGATCTTTTTTTGGGAGGGTGAATTGTAGTGATGGAAGGTCCACTTTGTACCTTAGATTTTTTTCAAGACTAGTATTGTATAAATCTTATAGTTATATGCTTTTGGAGATGATAAAGTTGCCTTCCGGCCAAATTTCGATAAAGTTGTAATTGATCGTTGGAGGTTATAGTTTAATGAGTCTCTTTGAGCTGAAAATATCATTTCAAAAATCATCCTCTTATTGAAAAATAAGATGTTATGCGATCAGTTCCGAGCTGATTTACACTTTTCACCAGAAAGTCATGAGCATGTAATTTGGTTAAGCATTAGGATAAACTTTCCCATGAAGACCGAATGCGATGGCTGAAAGTATTAATCGTCGCTGGCCGAAAGTAGAAAATTAATGGTAGTCGCTTGGAAATCTTCCTCTTAGTCCAAAATATGATTAATCTCGAGCCGATTCAAACTTTTCACCAACATTCAGCTTAAATGAAATTAGGTGAAAGGTTTATGATTATGATAATCATCACGGACATTTTGCACGAAGCAAAGCTGTATACAAGCAACGCATGAGCATATTAAGATATACCCAAAAATTGATCGAACTTCGCGGTTGCGCCTACATCGACCAAAAGTGAAGGCTGGAGAGATGAGCCGTTTTCGGTCAAAATATAGGCACAACCGCAAAAATTCAATCAACCCTCTCAAATCGCACCATCCCGAATGGTCACAGAGTCCATGACGCCCAGAGAAGAGCATTCGGAAAGGTTAGCAACAGCACGCCGTAGGCAGGCGTTCTCAGCACCTCCCTCCGAGTTCACGGTGTGGAATGACCGCTGTCCGCTAAAAGACGACGCCGACTCAGAGGGTAGACACGAATAATGCCGGGCAGGCCATTATAGCCCCCGTGTATGTGCAGAGGGGTATCTATCACCAGTCTTGGCTTCCCGTAGCGGGCAGGTCAGGGAAGGGGGATTGCCGGGAGGGTCCGGGTCTCGATCCCGGTCCCGGTCTCGGTCTCGGGGTCTTACTCGCTCCGAAGAAAAATCATTTTCTTGGCGAAAGAGGTGGGGAGCCAGAAGGCAGGCATGCATGCATGCATGCATGGATACAACATGGGGATGGGGATGGGGATGGAGATGGGATGAGGGGATGAGGGGCGGTGGGGGGCATATGCCAGTTCAGTGCCGTTGCTGCCAATCCTGGGGGAAGTGGGTAGAGGAGGAGGAGGAGGAGGAGCAGGAGCAGGCATGGAAGCCGAGCCTGGTCGAAAGAAGGGGGCCCGGTCCGGTGCGCTAACCCGCGTGGTGTGGTTAGGAGAGGATGAGACTGACGACGACGAGGACGAAGAAGAAGATAGGGCCGAGTTCTATAAGAGTGTGGCGCGGAGCCGGAGAAGGGAGCGTGCTTCGATGCAAGAGACGAGAAGCAAGAGTTAGGAGAGGGAGAGGGCGCGGTCACCGATCGGTGGACCGAAGAGCGATTGATTGCTCGTGCGAGAGAGTCGCGAGGCAGGCAGGCCAGGGCACTGAAAGGCAGGCAAGGGAAGAGAGAAGAGAGGGATTCGACTCTCGTCATTCACGCACTTCTTGAGGTCTTGACTCCGCGAGAGGCAGACCTGAGAACGAAGAAGAAGAAGGGCGGAAGCACGAACGAAAAAACGGACGAAATTGTCGGTTGCATCGTTCTGTTTCCTGTTGTGTTTTCTTGACAGGAATCGGTCATTCTTTGCATTTTCTTTCGGTCTGTTGCGCCTCGGGCCTCGGCCAGGCAAGAGCGATTGAGCGAGCGAGCGAGGTCTTTTACACCGATTGAGAGGAAGAGGCGAGCAACGGCGAGAGAAAATCGCGAGCGCGCGTGCGCGACGGGGCCTTTGGGGTTCTGGTGGGCGTGCCCGGGTGGAGGAGAGAACAGGCGCCTCTTCGAGCAGTTGAGGAATGAGTAGTGCCGTTGTCTTCGGTCCGTGCGAGCTGAGATCGCTGCTTTCTTGGAGAAGTTTTCGGTGGAGGTTGTGACAGTTCCGCGCTCTGGGTTGTGGAAAGAGTGCGCGAGAGATAAAGAGTGGCAAGGTTGTTTGTAGAGAGTGCGCGAGAGATAGTCGAGAAACTCATAAGATCTGTGATACTCTTGCCAATCTGGATCGGTTGGCGCATCCTCGTTGATACGGAAGGCGAGGCACTGGAGTCGAAAGATGGAGACTGTGGTTCTGCCAGCGCAAGATCACCTTGCACAAGAAAGATACAGATATCAAAGTAGAGTCATGTCGGGAATGATCTACCCTCTCGGTGGTCTTCCCCGGACGCGAAGGAAGGTCAAAACGCCTTCGCAAGTATTCGCTGCTTCGATACACTCGGAGAACGTCCGAGTCTCCTCGAATCAGAACGTCCCTGCGGTCGACGCGCGGAGTTCGCCTGTGGGAGCCGCGGCTCAACTCGATTTGACCTTCGGTCTCCTTCGCGGCGCCCGCTTCTCCTCCTCACCCCCGACACGCCACATGTCGGGATTGAATACACCGCAATACCGCCTACATAGTACACCTTCTCAAGGACTCACCCGAAGTGAATCGTCCCGAAGCGAGTCTACGTCACCGGTTCTGTCAAAGCAGCAACAAGCGGCCAGCCCTTTCTCGCCGTCGTCACTCTTGAACGGAAGCACTACGTGCCCTTCTCCCGTGGCGAGAACGCGGTCTGACGGTGAATTGTTGTCCAGTTTGAAGAAAGGCGGCGAGGTTGAGAAGACCTCTGAGAGAAGAAAGTCCTTCGAGAAGAATTTTGACAACAACAAGAATGGATACGATAGGAAGATGGTTGAAAACAAGTTGGTCGAGAAGTTGGTCGAAAGATACGAGAAGCCTGTTGACAAGAGGAAGATGTTCGAGAGGAAGGCGGTCGAGAAGAAAGCCCCTGCATGCAAGAACCAGGAAGACAGACCTGTGAACCCGCCGAAGAAGGGTGTTATCACAATCTTGCAGAGACCCCAGACGAAGGAAGCCGCTGCTGAGAACCTTGCCAAGATTACAGGCATAGCAGTGGAGTCGCTTCAGTTGGCGAAGCCTAGCCGTGGTGGTGTTCCCGAGCAAGCTAATGAGGATACGACACGGAAAGATGTCGATCCAGTTTCTCAAGTCGTTGTTACCGAAGATCTCCGAGACACGGAGGGTGGTTCGAGAGAAGCAGAGCCGGGCAGCATTCACGCCACCAAGGGAAGGCCTGGATCGCCGAAGGGTGGGAAGAAGAGATCTGTCCGTGAGAACACCCGGATTTCTGGAGCTCGTTCTACTGCCACCTCCCAGGTCGTCGAGAAGGCCGGTAGACAAGGCGTGGGGAATGCTTCCAATGGCCATTCTGCACAAGCGTACTTTGAGAAGGAAGAGAAGCGAAATGCGAACGAACAAAGGAGGGAGGCGAGCCCTGTCTCGTCCCACTCCAGTAGAGAAGGTATCGGTGCCAGCAAGAACCCAGGGGTCCTGGTTCTATCCCCGGAGGATTATTCCTCTGCCCACACTCTCTCAGATACTCAGTCGAAGAAAAGCCACGCGAGAAACAACTCTTCGACCGATGCTGGACACAGGTCAAGTGAGGAATATGTCGGGAAGCAACGTGGAGTTGCCAAGAGTGACAGCTTCGGTAGATTCGAGAGTAGTTATCCAGAGATTCCCAGAGTTGTTAGAAGTGAAAGCTGTGAAATCTTTCATCCATCATCGCCCCCGACTGCAGCCGCCGAGAGATGGGCTGGTCCGGCTTATTCCAATTCTCCTCCCCCGAGTACTCTTCCTTTTCCTACGTTCCCAACTCAACGCACCAAATCGTCGCTTAATGGTGTGTCGCTAGGTGGGCTCTTGGATCCTCTCTTTCCTGAGGTGGTTCCTATCAAGTCGTCTTCTGCCCCATCTTCACCAACTCGTGTCTCCGCAGCGTTCTTTTCTGATCCCAGAGCGGAGGCACCGCGTGTGGATCCATCTTCTGCAACGAAAGACTTGAGAAGAATTTTGAACTTGGACGTGGAGTACACCGTGGGGCTAATGGAAGCTGAAGTTTCTTTTCTTTCCTCGGATGCGGAGCGCCTGGCGTCTGTTATAAAAGCCAAGGAGCAACAATCCGCCACACAAAGTTTGAAGAGGATGTTGCAACTCGGATGATACGAATGGCCGAGAGCCGTGTTCGTTCACCGAAATGTGCATTTATCTTTGTAGATTTTCTAATCTTTGTTTTCCCAATTTTTTTAGATGAGCTCATGTGAGTTCTCCGTAGGATGTATATGGAGTGTACAGTGGGTGTATAGAGGTGCTTGGAGAACTTGAAATACTCAAAATGGGTCATGGTGCTTACAGTAAGTACTGCAGCTTTATCCCCGCGTGGCTGGCTTTCACGAATGCTGGGCGCCACTAATGGGGACGATGGAGCCTTGGAGACAAGTGTTGAGAGGAAGGCTGCTGTCAAGATACTAGCGACGTTTGAAGGCATGGTGGCAGTAACCTGCGTATTGTGCTTTGTAATCAAGACTTACCTTGGCCGTCTGCTATGGAGCAGCAGGTCGGGGGTTGCTACATCGATGTAGTTCAGGACGTACTATCCGGAAGTTTTTTGGTCTCCAGGAAAGACTGGTGATCACTTCCCCGATCGTCGGCCTTGGAGTTGTATGTACTTATATTAATAAGTAGTCAGATACAGTATTATTGTGCTCATTGAATAGGAAAAGTCTCTAGGCCAGTTAGACAATTTTTTTTTTTCATCAAATTTTTTTCCCGACGGTAGATGCTACTTTTGACCCAGGAGTGGGTTGATAGAGATAGATGTTCATCCATAGACAGGTTCGATACTTCTTGTACCATAGTCTCTGCTGTACGCAGTACCCGATTAGACGATGTTCCAGCAAAATGTGTGAAAGGTTGGAGATAGCTTTGTGAACTAATTCGACGATGGAGGGAGAAGCTGAAATTCGGAAGATTTGCTGTATTCAAGTGGATCCTCAGCAGAGGAAGTCCTGATGACGGTGGTTGAAGCTGAAGATGAATATCTCTACGCCGGTGCCGACGAGAGATATGCTTCGAACGGATGTTGAAGTATCACCTTAAGTCATCAGGAGGATTGGTCTCGAAGTGGTATGGGAAGAAGGAGATGGGATTCGAAACATCTGTGCTCTTCAACTATCCTGTGTACGTGGACGTTGTGTTTTCCGGGAGGAATGTTTTTACCCGAGAAGCAAGTGGAGCTATGGCAAGATCTGTGAAGTCTACAATGTTAAAGCTTGGGTGGGATTCTGTTGGGCCGTTGCCAGATAGCAGCCTACTTTTTAATTGGTCTGCTATCTCATGTAGGTTGTCAACGTGTCCTAAAAGCGTAGTCTTCTAGCATCCAGAAGGCAAGAGGAGCTGCTCGTGTGCTGGTCGTGAACTAAGCATGGAGGAGCTGCTGTTGTTGTATGATACGTGTGGTACTGAAAGCGGAAGCGGCCTTGGGTAGGACGCTGTGAGAAAAGTGGAGGTGTAGTAGATCTTCGTTGGAAGAGTTCTCTCGGTTGTGATTGTAGTATTTGCCGGTAGAGAATCATAGTGTGCAAGCCCTTTTATCTTTTTGGAGGGCGAGGATGGATTTAGTTAAGTTCTCGGATGGAACGTCGATTGGGAGTAGTCTTGACTTCCGCAAGGGGTTTCTCCTAGTGGTTCCGGAGGCGAAACACAAATTTTTTGGTGTCAGTCTCGCACGGAGCACGGTGATGAACTGTGGAGTGGTTGGCATAGCAGCTTTGAGGAAGTTGCATGAAAGAAAGGGAGGCTCTGTGTCGGACATTTGTTTAACCACCATTAGGGAGGTTAGAATTGGAAGTCTACCTCGCGGTACGTAGCAACTTGCGCGCATCCGGGTGGACGTGTCATCTTCCTCGTTGATATGTCGAGCCGCTCTCACAGTATATACGTACATAGTCACATAGGTATCGTAGGTCTGTTCAATTCTCTAGAGAATGATCTAGGTGATAGAGAGCAGCGAAAAGGCCCTTCAGAACGGTCGCTTCCATCGGAAAGTAAAGGTGAGAGGTTTACTTGGCCGTTGACGTTCTGAAGGCAGGGAGGGGTCTGTCTGCTACAGGAGGCAGTCCCCCTCTTTGAACAAGGTGACCGAGGTTCGTGGAGTCATGTGCTGGTCGTATTCGGCACTGATGGAGCTATTGATGGGGAGCTGTTATTACCATCATGGAGGAAGTCGAAGAGTAGATGTGGAAGGGAAACGGTCCGAGGGAACATCACGATCTGGTGAAGCTCTACTTGACGGGGAAGAAGGGAAAGATTGAGACTCAACTCTCTTTCTTCCTTTTCATGTTTAGAACTCAGCCATGTTCATTGCATAGTCTGCAAGATCATGTCAGTAGTAAATAAGAGGCCGTTTATATGTGGAACTTTGTGTACAATGGTGGATGTTGATGGTGCATGATGTAACGATGATGTCCCAGTCAGATTGTGGATTGTCCGATGGTTGTACTTCTCTCACCAGTTTCTGAACATCAGCCACAGAACTGTTAAGCTGAAGTATCGGTTGTAGAGTAGGAAGGAGTACTGTTTACGAACTCTAGGAACTTTCCATGATCGCTTGTCATTAACAATTAACTTTTGTTGTTGTGAATGTGAATTCAAGCGTTTATAATATGCCAATCTCAGATTCAGTCTAACGACCAAACGCTATTGGAGCGGGGGAGTGTTATCCGTAAGCTGTCAGTATTCGGCTAACATACGTCCTGTCCATGTACTAATTTAATAAAACCTCGCTTGTTCATTCGACTGCCTACTCTTCCTTTCGACCTGCCTCTAACTCAGAAGTTTATGTACGATGTCTATACCAGGCCGTACGCCTATACGAAGGCGTAGTCTTCGATGGAAGGAAAGGAGTTGTGCGTTGTGCTGCTTTAGAAATGTGACCATCGAACTACGATAGAAAATCTGAGTATTTGGAATTTAAAAACCTGTGCGCTTAGAGATGGTTAAAAAATCTCCCTACGTCCGGTTACATAAATTTATCATAGATCAAGCTCAGATCGAAAGATTTGGTAACGCGCAACAACCGGTTCGGAAGAAAAGTTATTCAGGGGTCGTGAGAAAATGAGTGGACAACTTTTCACGTTCCCTTCGGAACGTACAGATTCCGGGCGTTATTCGAAACTTTGAGAAGAGTGTGAGGACCAGAAAAACCGGAAACTAGTTGACTCTTGATTTTTTAGCCGACGACTTTGGGCGGAAGATGAGGATAGATACTTTTTTGTTCAACGCACGGCGCAATCGACAAGGGCGATGTATCTCGAGGAGATGAACTCGACCCTAAGCATAACTTTGGATGGAGGTTTTACCCACCCTAGGTGAGGGTGGTTTGAAGATTGGAGATCATTCGCAAGCACAGTTGTTATGCGAGCACAGCAAGAAGGAAGAGGCCCGGGCAGGAATTTCCACCAATACTCCAAGTAAGGCGTGAAGGCAAGCACAAGAACCGTGGCAGGTTATGTGACAAACCGCTACTCATATCTCAAGTGAGGTGTAAACAAAACAGAAAGACCTTCAACGCACTTGAACTCGTGAGGAGAAGGCTTGTGTTGTTTCTGTTCCAAGAGGTTGTTCACGCTGCTTCGTATCTTTCACTGAGGTTTATTGATTATTACTGTGGTCTCTCTTCGTTTGTCTGAGCCATGAGGATCCCCCCTCGAGGGTTCACATGGCTAACAGATTTAAGCAAATGTTCATCTATATTAGCAGTGGTGTGAATGTATCTATGTTGCCAAAATAACGTCCACGGCCTGCGAAAGGCCGACGACACTCGAAAGGGAAGCCGAGCAGTTCACTTCACGTGAAGATAAGGCGAAAGCGAAAGGAGCAGAATGCGTACGAGCCGGGGGATCCACAACTGCCCCAGCCAGGGATTCGCCGCTTTACAGTGCAGCGCAGGCCAACCGAGCACGAGGTGTCCTTTCTTTAGGAACGCAGGCAGGCCTACAGGCGATTCGCCCCCGCAGTCAATCAGTTGCTTCCAGCGCAGCGCCGCGATTATGAGGCCTCCCCTCACCGCCGAGCGAGCATCACTTATGACCTCGGATCGCTGCCGGCCTTTTTCAACCACTTCCCTCTGAATCGACGTCCCCCGTGGGATCTTGGGGCTCGGCTATGGCCTCCACGGTCCTTCGGCTCTCCATGGCCTCCTCAGTCCTACCATTTTCGGTCGTTTCGTCCGCCTCGTTGCTCGATCGGCACATGCTGCTGGACCGTCCCTTGGAGCTCCAAGGCCGAACCCAAACCCAGAGCTCGCAAGGGGCTCCTCCATAGAGCTCGCCATCTTCGTATCCGATATGGCGAACTCGTGATTTTTGCTATCCTCCGAACTCTTCCAAGGGTCAAAAGACCCCTTCAATATTGCATACAATGAACACCGAAGGCCTCAACGCGTGGTGTTTATTGTATGCAATATAGATGATTTTAGTCGGAAGTTCACTCTAACTAAAAGCAATAGCGAGATTTTCGATATTGTTTTTTTCTTCCCCGTAACATGAAATTCAATACTCAGTACTAAATACGCGGGAGAAAGAAAGAAATAAAACCAAACACATGATGAAACCAACGATTGGAGTACACCCTCACCGTGGAACCATCTCATCTCATGCTATTTGCCATATGAAGATTAACCACTTAATCAATCCCTAATAAAATAAAATTGTGATAATGTTAGTTAATATGAGTTTTAATTAGGCTTACATAGATTAGTCACATACCTAAAGTGCCTAATCTCAATTAAGTTAGAAAAAAATCCCAAATAAGATCAAAACTAATATAATTTGAAAACATTACAACAGTAATATTTATTGCTTAATTGTGGTAAAAAATTAATACGAGTTGCATTGAAGAAATCCTTACTAAGTAAAATCAATCAATGACATGTTTGACATAGACTTGCGGAATTTCAACATAAAGAAATCCTTACTAAGTAAAATCAATCAATGACATGTTTGACATAGATTTGCAGAATTTCAACATAAACACTTCGTGCGTGGTCACTTCAACATCGAGACGTCACTAGTATTGGAAAAAGAAAAAAATCAGACTGTTAACAAAGTCAAACAGAAGATTGAAACTGTCAACAGGTAGTACAGTGCATATGTACTGCCAAATGACCACTTATGATTTTTAGTATATGATAGTCATTCCCACCGTATTCCCTCTCGATTAACGGCATACGGTCACATTTCAGGCTGTCACTGTTACCGTTATGATCTCTAGGATACCATGGCAGTCCTCATTGTATATACTCTTGGTTGACGGCATACGATCACATCTTAGGCTATCATCGTTACCATCCAAGAAGAACCGTCACGTTATGGAAAAAGTTTTGCATCGCATTTCTTGGAGCTCTCTATAAAGAAGGATTTCTTGGAGTTAATGTAACTATCTTTAGTTAGTTAGAACTAAAGTAAAAATTACTCAAGATGAAGTTATAGTTACTTTAGAGTGCAAATTTAATTGACACGTAAGCAATTCATGTGCTTGATCATATAAGTACTCAGTGTGTGTCGTGCGAATACATATGGTCATACAACCTACATCGCTTACATGCTCCACACACACACATAAGCAACGAGAGCGTACGCGTACACGCACATCAATGTATCACAACTAAAAAATAGTTCGTGCAAATTCCATTGATTTCAAACACAAAGATTCACATCAAATCAAGCCAAACCCATTCCACACCTCGGAGACTACAAGTAAGCAACTTCCGCGTTGATTCTCACTCAGATTTACCTCAAATGGCTTTGCAATAATTTATTATGGTTCTAGAAAGTTAGGATTCCTCCTCATGCTCATACCCCAAACATTATCTCACACATTACTTTAATTCATCACTCACATTCATATCTACATCGACACTCCAAGATGTTGAAAAACGTCATTTTTTCATATATGAAACAAATCTCTACATATGAACTCCCCAAACTTGCTTGAGATTCTATCCGCTACCTCTCTATATATACTACTTAAGAAGTTACCATAGTAACAAATGGTAATTCTTATTCAACTTGATTTTACAAAGATAAATCATAGTAAGTTTGAATAGTTTCCAATATATTGCAACATGTCATTGGCCTTGCAAAACTTCTAAATGTTTTCTAATTTCTAAGTTGAAGTGACGATATGCCATTTGTGCCTTTCCAACTTTTAGAAACTCTACTTGCCACTAACTCAACAATAGACTTAGTCTAATCAATAAAGTTCACAATACTTAGTCAAGCCAATAAAAACTAATGATGTAGTGTAACACTAGGTAGAAGTTCACTCGAAGATAGAAACGTAAAATCTGAAGATGAGAGATATCAACAATGGTTCTCTTCTCCAACAAGTGTTCTCACCAACAAGAGTTCTCACCAACAAGTGCAAGGATATAAGATTTTGTCCCCATCATCCATCCCACCCCTAGTGGATGGATGATGTGGCGGATAACCCTAACAAGCACACGGATCGCTGACGTGACGCTTCCAACTAACACACTCAATCCTTAAATAACAAGCACACTGAGTGCTGACGTGGCACTGACAACCAACACAACTACTCTCTACCTTCCAAGCGCACGGATCTTTGACGTGGCAGCTACGACTAGTGCACGCTAAAGTATCAATATCAACATTTATACTAACCTCTACTTTGATGATTACATCGGATTAGAACAAAACACTCTCCGGTCTCGGATCAGAACACTTTTAGAGTTCAAGTCTCTAAACACTCTCAAGTCTCGGATCAGAACAGAACACTATGAAGTCTCAAAACACTCTCACTCTCAGGGCTCGAATCGTCTCAGAACACTCAGGTCTCTAAACACTCTCCGGACACTCTCATGTCTCGGATCAGAACACTCTCAGGGCTCGAATTGTCTGTAAACACTCTCAGGTCGCGGATCGTCTCGTCTCGTCTTAGCAGCCACGTTGTGTGCTCTAGCGCACTCCACTCCTTATGTACACTATCAACTCTAGGATTTGAGTTCATCGCCGCCACCAACCAGCGGTAGACTTTACATTAGGTTTCGGGTGTAGTACAACCCTCGACCCAAACCCGATCCAAATTCGGGTTTTTGGGTTCTATCCAAACTCGATCGGAGCCCTATGTGAACTATTCAGACCCACTAACATATTGTGAAATTAAAATGGCAAATCGGTGTCCATATCGCGATGAAGAGGAACAAGACAAAAGTAAGAAACTCAACGACTTCCAACAAGTTGTACAAAGCAGTGATAAAATTTGATTGCCGAGTATAAGTTCTTGAAGGTCTGTTGAAAACGATGCAAACTATAACAATACACTAGTTCACAAGCCCAAGCCATTTGCAACTGGTCAATTTTCAAGAAACATGGTCATCAAACTTTGATCTTAGA